GTGTTTGTGGAAGATTAAGTTCGCGATATTGCAGTTGTGAATTAAAAACAAACAAAAAAAAACAATGTTTAGCAAAAAACAAAATGGTAGAAAAATTATGAAATTTCGGCTCTAATCATTTCGATCTTTCCTCAACCTCATTTGTAAAGAAATAAATATTGTACCAGCATGCTGGTATATGCTGGTTAATAGCTTCGAGTGGCAAAAAAAAATATGTGGTAGCTAAATCTAGCCACCAAAGGGCTAAAACGGCAACACTGGTTATAACTTTGGTCCGATGTTTGTAAGTACCAGAATAAACACAGATAGACCCATTAAAATGTATACTTATATGATCAGAACGTCGAGCTGAGTCGATTTAGCCGTCTGTCCGTCTGTTTGTATGCAATCTAGCCCTGGAATACTAATCTTATTTTTTTATTCCTTTAATACTAACGTTCGCCTGTGAGGCTACTTTGAAAAAAATAAAATAAAATAAAACTTTTTAATATGCAACGCTTTTATAAATGGACTAAAAAGTAGATGATAATATTTCTCAGTCCCACAGAATTGGTTTTGATGACTTTTGGTTTTGAAATTTTAGCAAAAGTCATTATAAACAATTAATGGCATTGAAAGGAAGTAAGTTTGAGAGATTTCGGCAACAAGCGCGACAGCGTGAGCCATCATTTAGCAGCAGCACACAGACGGTTGTGTCTCATCAGAAATTATTAATCTCGGTGATATCAGCAGTGAGCGCTAGTGGAGGAAGTCTGTATCATTGTATCAGTACCATCTAGTGGCAGACAGATAATGGCGACATCTAGTAGTCAATAAAAATCGCGAAAAATAAATCATTTACCAACACTTAAAACAATTACATTCGGCGGTGACCCTGCGTTCTGAAAGTACAAACTGTCAAATAATAACAAGTAAGAAAGTCTAAGTTCGGGTGGAGCCGAACATTAAATATTAAATAAATGTTTTTTCACCTTTCCGAAACCTACCGCTAGATGGTTAGCCGGGGTGTATCAATTTTGAGTAAATTAGCGTCCTTAAATTTCGCAATAATGCAGTTTCAAGCATTTCTGAAATTTACCGTTATATAAAAAGCGGCCGTAGTTTTAGTCCGGTTTCAATAATTTTTAACGTTTTGCTTTTATGTGGCAAGCACAATAAAAATACCGAGTTTGGTACAAATTGGTTGAACGGTTACCGATATATATATATATGTCATCATAAGTGGGCGGTGCCACGCCCATTTTCCAAAATTTTATCATAAGCGTATTTCTTGGTAAAGGATTTTTGCAAGCATCAATTTTGAATAAATTAGCTTTAATATTTACTGATTTATCGAAGATTTCGTATTTCTCCAAATTACCGTTATATGGGATATGGGTGTGGTTATTGTCAGATTTTAAAAGTTTTCGGCCATTTGGTATCCTGTACCAAGGCCAATAACTGTGCCAAGTTTGGAAGAAATCGGTGCAGCGGTTGCCAAGATATACACATGTAACCATAAGTGGGCGTGGCTACGCCCATTTTTCAAAAATTTATAACATTCTTATTTTTCGTCTAAAAATTATTGCAAATATCAATTTTGAGTGAATAATCTTCAGTAGTTACTAAAATATCGCAGTTTTCGTATTTCTGAAAATTACCGTTATATGGGAGGTAGGCGTGGTTATTGTCCGATTTTTCCCATTTTCAATACCATCCGTCCTACGCCCGAAAGAAGTACACGTACCAAGTTTAGTTAAGATATATTAATTTTTACTCGAATTATCGTGTGCACAGACGGACGGACAGACGGACGGGCGGACGGACGGACGGACGGACAGACAGTCACCGCTTAATCGATTTCTCTTTTCATCCTGATCATTTATGTATACATTTCTCTATATCTATCTCGATTCGTTTTGCCTGTTACAAACAACCGTTATGTGAATAAAGTTATAATACCCTTGTCCACAAGTGCGCTCGGGTATAAAAACAAACAAAGCACAAAATGGAAAAACTGAAATCTCAGAGGCAAACAATAAAAAGCAGCTTGACACGCATTGCTAAGGCTGGTGCGGATCAAAACTCAACAACTGCGGAAATAAGTACGCGCACAAAGGACAGAAGAGTTGTTTCAGAAATTCGAGCAGATCCAGCAAGAGATCGACTATTTAACAACAGCAGGCGAGCAGCAGGCAGAGGAAGAGCTTACCGCGCACACATTGAGGACAAATATTTTGGAATAAAGTCGCTTTGTGCACATATTCTCGATGAAATGGATAACAACCGCACAATCATAGACATAAGGCAGTCAGTCAACGACATCTCGACGGCGGTGCAGACGCTTATTGAACATCAGGGCACAATGGGTGCATTAATTGAGAGCATTGGCCGCAATGCATCAACACCGGTAGCTGAAGCCAACAACACAACACATCAACAACAACATCGATTACGTCTACCACGAATAGAAATTCCACAATGTGATGGGAAATGCACTGAGTGGATACGTTTTCGGGACGCTCGTGCATAACAGAGAAAATATTTCTGGTATTGAAAAATTCGAGTACTTGCAAACCAAAATGCAGGGAGAGGCATTGTCGCTTATAAAGCATTTGAAGCCAACCCACGCAAATTATATTGTGGCGCGGGAGCTATTAAAGCGAAAATACGACAAGTCAGACAGAGTAAAGAAAGCATACTTGGAGTTGTTGTTTGACCAACCCACTATGAAAGCATCATCGGTAGCTGAGATGAAACGTATTTACAACACCACAAATGAGTGTGTAAATGCTTTGAAGGTATTCGAAGAGCCAGTTCAACATTGCAACTCAATTTTACTGTTTCATTTGGAAAAAAAACTCGACGCAAATACGCTTGTGCTCTGGTACAGGGGAAAGAAAGCAGACGAAGTAGCAACCTTTCAACAGGGTTTAGAATTTTTGGAAAGCAGAATTGTCGAACTGGAGAATACGCAGAGGAGTAACCACAATTCCAGTCAAGGTGTCAGCAACTATACGCGCAACCAATCTCGCGCCTACATCGCCACTGTTCAGAAGTGCCCTGTATGTGCAAGGGAACATTTTCTGTTCAATTGCAACCAATTTGAGGAAATGAATGTCGAAGCTCGTCGGGTGCTGATGTATTTTCCGTGTGCGTCCTGCCAGAGAATTTGACTCATCCATTAGGGTCACCAACTGCTATAAACACAATCTTCGGTTGGGTTATTATGGGCAAAATACCTGCCACACGCGAGACACATTTGGTGACAGCACATACGTTCCTGGATTTAAGCAAACAGCTTCAGCATTTCAGAGAAATGGAAGACATTGCAGGGCCTACTCAACATCTCACACCAGAAGAAAAAAACTCAAAAAACTTTTCAAGAACGCCCTATTTCAGAATTTAATTGAAAACACCCTATCTCAAAATTCGGTTCAAAAACGCCCTATCTCACTTCAAAATTTATTGAAAATATGCTGATATAGGGCGGTTTTGAATCGGCAGCTGAGATAGGGCGCTTTTGAAATGAATTCTGAAATAGGGCGTTCTTGAAAAGTTTTTTGAGATAGAATGTTTTCGAACTGGCTGCCGAGATAGGTCGATCTTCCACTCAGCCATCGATATAAGAGCTTCATGCACGAGTACAGCGAGTTGGGTCACATGGAGCCATCTACCTGCAACCTTCACAGGACGTACTTCCTACCGCATCACGCGGTGATAAAACCAAATAGCACCACCACTAGGTGGCGTGTGGTGTTCGATGCGTCGTGCAAGACAACAAGTGCCGTATCGCTCAACGACAACTCATTAGTGGGGCCTACTATACAAAAAGATCTTTTCGAAATTATAACGAATTTTCGCAAATATGCAGTCGCATTTTCTGGCGATATAGAGAAGATTTATCGTCAGGTGCTTATAAATCCAAAGGACCGTTCATTGCAGTGTATTTTATGGAGAGACGCGAAGGGCGAATTACCAAAGGAGTACAATCTCAAAACAGTAACATATGGTACTTCAGCAGCGCCGTTCTTAGCTATCAGGACGTTACATCAAGTTGCGAATGACTTCGAAATCGATGCTTCTTTGGCAGCAAAGGCGATTAAGCAGCATTTTTACGTCGACGATTTTATGGCCTGTACCATTAATGCGCGCTCAGCAATAGAACTCAAAAATGAGTTTTGCACCATCTTGTCGAAAGGTGGGTTTCATTTACGAAAATGGGCATCAAATTCTGGAACGTTTATGCAGTCAGTTGAGGAACGAGACCGGGAATTAAATTCAGAAACTATAATCGACACATCGGATGGTTGTCACCAGTCGTAATCGCCATGAAAATATTTATGCAGAGACTTTGGCTGCGAGGTCTTGGCTGGGAAGAAGAGTTACCCAACGATCTCTATAATAAATGGACAGAGTATCGGCAAAACATCAACGACATTCAAAAGCTACGAATTCCGAGATGGTTAGAATTCGCGGACGAAACGAGCGTCGAGTTTCATTGGTTTGCTGATTCATCAGAGCAGGCTTATTCAGCAGCAATCTACATGCGTATCCCATATGCGAAAGATGAATTTCGAACAAACTTGATTGCTGCTAAGACGAAAGTTGCGCCGGTTAAGCAAGTTAGCTTACCACGTCTGGAATTGCGCGCCGCACATCTTATGACAAAATTAATGACAACAGTTCGCAACGCCTTGAACTTGTTAGATGCCGCAGTTATCGGATGGACTGATTCAACAGTCGTTCTGGCCTGGTTATCAGACCATAAACGTCGCTGGAAAACGTTTGTTGCCAACAGGACGGCACAAATACTTGATGTCATACCAGCAGAATAATGGCGATATATATCGTCACAGCGAAATCTTGCAGATCTGGCCACGAGGGGAATTTGGCCTAACGAGCTCATCAATAACCAGCTATGGTGGCATAGCCCAAATACGTTAAGACAACTGGTTACAACATGTGATCATACACCAACCGTTCCTGAGGATACTGATTTAGAAGAACGAAAAGAAACGATGTCCCATGTAGCCACCGTTGAAGAAATTGACATATTCGACCGATATTCCAGCTACACTCACCTTCTACGAGTGATAGCGCTTTTGTTACGATTTATAGATAATTGCGAAGCTATGAAATTAAAGCTTGAAATGTCAAAGTCGTTTTTAACAACAAATGAACTACAGCGGGCGCATAACGCTTTGGTTAGGAAAGCTCAAACAGCATCATGTGCGCCGGAATTACGAAGCATACGTCAGGGTAAGCAATTGCTAGTTTCACACAAATTAGCCATGCTATCCCCTTTCATTGATGGCGATGACGTGTTACGAGTTGGGGGAAGAATCACGAATGCAGATGTAAACTACGATCAGAAGCATCCTATTATTCTCAACAAGGATCATCAGTTGACAAAGCTTATCATAAATGATTATCACGTGAGAAATTTGCATGCTGGAAACCGGCAACTTCATTACTTACTGGGTATTCGCTACTGGATTCCCCGCGTTACGATTGCCGTCAAGCGCTGTATTTATAAGTGTACTGTCTGTATGAGACAGCGTGGCATTCCATACCAGCAACAAATGGGTAACATCCCTCGTCCACGATTGAATCCAGGCAGCACGTTTCTGAATACTGGAGTGGATTTCGCAGGGCCAATCCAGCTCCGTTCATGGAAGGGTCGTGGCTCACGACTGTACAAATGTTGGATTGCGCTTTTTGTGTGCCTCGCTACGAAACGCGTTCACATTGAATTGGTCACCGAACAATCTACCGCTGCTTTTATAGCCGTCTTACGTCGTTTTATCGCCAGGCGCGGAAAACCCATGCACATCTATTCCGATAATGGAACCAATTTTGTAGGGGCTGATCAGCAACTGCGAGAAATTCACCAATTGCTTCAGTCATCTACAACACAAGATGGTATCACACGTGAACTCGCTGACCAGCATATTCAGTGGCACTTCTCGCCTCCGTCCGGACCGCACTTTGGTGGCATCTGGGAAGCTGGTGTGAAATCGATGAAACACCACTTGAAGCGCACGCTAGCTGATACTTCAGTCACCTACGAAGAATTGCAAACGGTGTTACGTCAGATCGAATTCTGCCTTAATTCCCGTCCATTATGCGTTAAGTTCGAGGACGATATTGAACCATTAACACTTGCACATTTTTTAATTCTCCGATCACCTACAACAATACCAGATGAGAACATGCTAAATTTGAAAGAAAATTCTCTCAATCGAAGGCAGTATCTTCAGCACCTTGTCCAACAATTCTGGCAGAAATGGTCAAGAGAATACTTCATTCAACTACAACAGCCGCCTAAGTGGACGCATAAGATGGAAAATTTACAAATCGACGACGTGTTCATCATAAAGGATGACAACTTGCCGCCATCCAAGTGGACAATTGGAAGAGTCACTGAACTACATCCTGCTGCTGACGGGCTCGTTCGTGTAGTAACGATAAAGACTGAAAAAAGAATACTCAAGCGAAACTCTGTCCATTATTTTTGGACGTTTGAAAGCGGATGCTTTCAAGAGGGGCGGAATGTTTAATATTATTTTGCTTTTATAAATTTTATTCTCTAAATACAACCCTGCGCTTTTTGAACTGGACGAAGGGCTAAACTTTTGGCGTTGGTTGAGTTTTTTCAATTAATGTCAAGCAGAGATTTTTTTTAGTTATGTTCATTTTTCAACAAAAGACAAACTTGTAGTTCTATCTTTCATTAAACGGTGACAAATAAATAATTTGATTTAAACCAAGGAATGAAACAGTTTCAAAATAACGTTCCGGTTTGGGTTTCGGTTTTGCCAAGTGTTTCGGTTTCGGTTTTGGTTTCGTTCTTCAAAATTTATTTCGGTTTTGGTTTCGGTTTCGTTCCGGTTTCGGTTTTTCACTGAAATTTTGTTGATATTATTTAAATCACAATGTCTTAAACGTTGAGGAAAGAAAATCGAAAATTACAGTTCACTGATAATATCAACACTAGGTTCTTTCCCTAACAATCCGGACCGGATTTGGTAATTCGAGAATAAGAGAAACATTTTCTTTCAAAAATGGAACAAAGTTCAGAAGTACGGAAACGCAAAAACCCACATTTCGTGCCCACAAGTCGAGAAACAGCTGATTCACGTTGTTCTTGTTTTTGTCACGTATACCATGTTCTGACCGACATCGGAAACATGTTTTCGTTGCTAAAACTGGTTTTCGACCTAAAACTTGTGTTTTCGTCCATATAAAATCTGTTAAACGAAAACCAGTTTTCGCTGAAAACTACTTGAAAACTCACTTTCCACTCATTCCAATCGGTGTCTTGACTAGTTTTTTTCGATTATTTATCGAAGTGGAAGTCGTATTTTATCATCTTTAATGCGCCATTTCGGATTTATTGTTAATTGCCTGACCAAAGCAAAATAAGAATGAAAGTTAAAGGTTGTAAATGAAAAGAAAATGAAGGAAAAATGTTTTGGTTGTCGGTCAGAACATGGTATTAAATGCAAACACTTGGAAATTGAATTTTGGTTTCACAAATTTGATTTTAAGTACATAGATTGAAAATACATCAACAGGCCATTCACTTTTCCTTAAAAGCACCGAGTAAATGCAGGCAACATGTAAACACAATACAGCTGATATGCACTTTGACAGTTTATCCATTTTTACTCGGAGAAAATTTCGGGCTGTTTAGGGCAGGAAGAAGAATACACTTACGATCGAATACGCTCGAATTTTCGCTCTCTATTACCCATTTTGTTGAGTACAGGCATGATTTCCTGGCTATTTTAGGCACACGTGGGATCTCGCATTGCGTACGGGAAAGAAACTACTTAAATATAATTAATCGATTATCGATTCACAACAACAAAGTCATCAGCAGATTTTTGCGAAAAGTTACCTTGCCATACTTATTTACTACTTAACAAGAATTTTAGCAAAATGTTGCTGATTTTGGTTAAATAAATCGTTTATTTCAAAGAAATTTTTATTTATTATTTTTGTAAATTTCGGAAAACCGATCGAAACCTGTGATTGAAATGGTTTCGGTATCGTTCCTTTTCAGGTCAAGATAACGGTTACGGTTTCGGTTTCGGTTTTGAGAAACGAAACGGTTTTAAACGGTTACGGTTTCGGTTTGGGTTTCGGTTTCATTCCTTGATTTAAACTACAGTTATCTTATTACTTCCGATTTAAGTTTCACATACATATGTACATACATACATATAGCAGCAGTTTATTTCATTTAAAGAAATGGCGCTGTGACGTATATAAACAGTGCATATATTTAGGCGCAATATTTAACTTCTTCTGGCGGGGCGACATCTAGAGTCTTCTAATTGTACCTCCTTCATATGCTGCGTACAGCGAGGTTCTTATCTAGACTAGGTTGATATATAGAATTTGCCATAAATAGCTTTGCTACATTTATAGTATATCCACCATACTACAACATTGCAAGTTGATAAAAGCGTTGTAATAAAAAGAACACATTTTGTCTTTTTAAAACCTTAAATTTATTAAAAAATGGGCTTAAACATATTTCATATGTTTCTAAACTAATAATTTTATAATTTTTTTAATATTAATAAAAATAATCCGAATTGAAAAATAACACATATTTTATCATCTTTTTGAGAGGGGTAATTTTAAAAAATAAAAATAAAATATTTTAAAACGAACGAACTCAAACATTCCATAAATTATCCTAAAGGTATTCGTATTTACTTTCACACTTAAAAGGAATTAATTGTTTATCTTTTCTGTTGTGACTTGTACCTACAAATGACATCGACTTTTTTGTATCACATGGAGCCTTATGAATAAAAACTAAGCAATTGGTTTTTCCTAAAATTTCAGACCTTTTACGTAAATTTATTTGAATAAATTAAGCAAAAGATTTGAAACCTCAATAAAAAGAAACTGCTTAGTTTTTTTATTCATAAGGCCCATTCACTGAAATCTTCTTCCAAATTATCCTCACTATCGCTTCCATTCAACGATATTTCTCCAACCATTTTAGAACTTGTTCTTCATAGGTATCCCTCTCGAAAAGTAAAAAAAATATTAAGTTCAAAACAGAAAATAGCCAACAAACATGATAAAAACTGAAATAAGTACAGCAAACAAAATTACCTTTACTACTAACGTTCGCCTCTCAGGCGTCAAGAGTGCGCGGAACTCAGCCGCGCAAGGCCACTGTACAATGTGCGTTACGAACGTTAGTGTTCTAGGGCTAGTCTCTCAGTTTTCGAGATATCCGGATGAAATTTGGTAAGTGGGTGTATTTTTATATTGTATTAATCATTTGTCGGAACCTCACTATAACATACAGCTTCCACACAACTGATTGATCAGATATGAGACTTTTCGTTATAACTTCTCCATTTATGCAGCTAGGAACATGAAATTTTATAGTACTTGCACAGATTATCAACAGAAAACTTACAGTGAAAATTACAAAGATCTGGTCACTATAACCTATAGCTCCCATACAACTGATTGTTCAGATATAAGATTTTGCGTTATAACCCCTCCATTTATATAGCTAGGAATATGAAATTCCGCACTGTTTTCAATAATTATCGGAAAAAAACTTACAGTGAAAATTACAAAGATCAGCTCCCAGGTTATAGCTCCCATACAACTGATTGTTCAGATATAAGATTTTTCGTTATTACTCCCCCATTTATGTAGCTGAAATTTTGCATGGTTTTCACTCCTTATCAACAGAATACTCACAGTGAAAATAACAAAGATCGGGTAACTATAACCTGTAGCCCCCATAAACTAATTGTTCAGATATGAGGCCTTTTATCATAGCTCTTCCATTTATGCACTCACTATTAACATAATACTTACAGGGAAAATTACAAAAATCGGGTAACTTTAATATATAGCTCCCATCATGGGCGTCGCCAGGATCGAATTTAGGGGGTGCCCGACATATAAAAAAATCCCAAAATTTTCATCTTTACACAATCATGCTTCTGGCATGCGGGCGACGATATGTACTTGCCGATTTGTTTTACAAAAATTATTTAAAAAGCAAACGTCTCAGTTGCTTAGAAAACCGGTTAATCGTTTCTGCAATTATTTCACCTTGATTCTCTAAAACAAATTTTCGATGTATTCTTAAAATGCATAAACCTAAGGTAAATTTTGTAGGAAATTAAACTAACACTTTATTAAAACTAGTAGTAACCCCCGAAATACAGGTGAGCATGATACAAAAAAAGAAGGTAGTTTCATTACTACTGATGCTTTCCATTTCCAGACAACCGGTCAGGTATGAGCATGATTTTTAATTTCGACCAAACTCAAATACATTGTTTGTTGGTCCAAATAATGAGGCACGTATTTTTTCTTTTGGCTCGGAAAAATTTTCCGGTCGAATTAAACGCGATTTTGTTTTTCAGGCAAAAATCGATTATTCGAATTGACGGTGAGAATGTGTTTTTAAAATGCCCATAACTTTGTCAAAATTTAATAGATTCCAGTCATTCTTGTCACTTCAAGATAGAATGATATAATTATTGATTTTCCTTATTTTAAATTTTTTATTTAACAATAAACAAAAAGTGCATATTTTTTTTTAAATTTAATTTCTCAAAAAGTGTATTTTTTTTCTCTCAAGCTTTTTTACCGAGAAAGAGACTCTTTGAACTACAATCAACCTAAATCTCTAATAGCGAAGATTTTTTTTTTCTGAGTTATGATTTTTTATAGAAAATATACGTTTTTGTGGTACATATTACAATATTCTTATATTGTTTAACTAAATGGAGCATATGTATGTAATATATCAGCAAAAATACAGCCGTGATCATTTTTTGTGTGTCAAATAGATATTATATATTATATTATATTCCACCATACAGTTTCGAATATAAAAAGCGGGAAAATGTGATTTTGTATTTCAAAACTGTATGGTGGAAAGTGTGTTATAATATCTATTTGATACACAAAAAATGATCACGGCTGTAATTTTTGCTGATATATTACATACATATGTTCCATTTAGTTAAACAATATAAGAATATTGTAGTATGTACCACAAAAACGTATATTTTCTATAAAATATCATAACTCAGAAAAATAATCTTCGCTATTAGAGATTTGGGTTGATTGTAGTTCAAAGTGTGTCTTTCCCGGTAAAAAAGTTTGAGAAAAAAAAAAATACACTTTTTGAGAAATTAAATTAAAAAAAAAAATGCACTTTTTGTTTATTGTTAAATAAAAAATTTTAAATAATGATAATCAATAATTATATCATTCTATCTTGAAGTGACAAGAATTACCGACATTTGAGTAAAAACATTGTTGGAATCTATTAAATTTTGACAAAGTTATGGGCATTTTAAAAAAACATTCTCACTGTCAATTCGAATAATCGATTTTTGCCTGAAAAACAAAATCGCGTTTAATTCGGCCGAAAAATTTTTCCGAGCCAAAAGAAAAAATACGTGTCTCATTATTTAGACCAACAAACAATATATTTGAATTCGGTCGAAATTAAAAATCATGCACGTACTTGACCGGTGACATTTCTCCAGAT